CTGAGCTTCATCAAGGGCAGCTTTTTTGCCTTGAATTTCTCGAATCTGTGCTTCAATATCTGTGGGGGGGGGGGGGGGACAAAGGTTTTCACATAATCAAACATTGTTCCATATTTAAATAAAACTTTATAAATCGTGTTCAAATATGTTTGATGCAGCTTTTCTATAACCTTTATTCCTTAAAATCTATTCAAATACAAGTCTAACAGTAGTCCTGCTAACATATACAGTAGCTGGTTCACACATAGTACTAACACATAGGTTATTTAACCTCTGGTTAATCCAAGGTTTGTTGCCTTACATAGGGGTTTTCTAGCAAATGGTTGAACAAACTATGGTTGGTTGTGTCAGTCTCTGGGTTTTGTTTCCTTTTAGATAGAATACATGGCGTACAATATGCATAGTGAGGAAAATGTAGACAGGAAGACTTTCTTCTCCTTCTCTCAAAATATTAGATCCAAAGATATCTTGGTTTTTCATGGATAAAGCAGTTTGATAGCAATGGTTTGTACAACACAACTCAGAGTTCAACAATCAATACCATTGGTTAAAGCTATATACAAGTCCCACCTGTATATTAGGAAACCATTAACTAATCATTATGAAGATGATCATTCTTTGTTTCCTTCACAATATTTGGAGCCAGCCCCAATAAACCCTCCAATTGTCATACAAGTCTACTAAAAAGTACTAACAAATTTTATTATGCAATTGTACACATAACCTTATCCAAACCCTAGTTTTTGCAGTGCACTGAACTCACGCTGATGCTGTAGAGCTAAAGCAATGATATGGGGTCTGCAACCCTAGCAAGAATGTTGCCTATGCAAGATTAACTTTGGTCATATGGGCTTACAGACTTAACAATAAGCATTATCTAGAAACAGAATAAACATCTGTAACCAAATGGGGCAACAGTAGGACTGAATGCATTGTAAGCAACTGTCCTTTCACACTATTTCCAAATAGCAATGTCTGCCTCTAGCTTCACATGGTGCTCAGGGAAGGGGGAAAAAAACAAGAAAAAAATACTTCCACATACTCCCAATTTTTCCTCAGGCTTTCCTAAGCTCATGAGCTTCACATGTTCAAGTCTCAGTTGTCTAAAGATCTACTGCTCCCTGAAACAACACCTCTCTTGCTCTCTTATTGCACAATATGTTTGGGTAAGACACAGTGATACCATTTCCCCTATTTTTTTCAAGTTCTTTTGAAAGACTCAGTTTTTTCTGGAAGTCTTTGGAACATCCCACCTGTCCCAGTTTTCTAATGCACAAGATGCATTGGTTTATTACTCCCAAAATTCCTAGCCAGCATAACTTATGGTTAGGGCTGAAAAACCTGCAGCTCAAAACAAGTGGAGGGTACTGGATTGCCAAATGCACCTATGAAATTAAGCCAAAACACATCATTTAAATAATCACATATTTTTCCCTGATTACTCCTGCCTCAATTCCCCCGTCTTCAGTTTCCCTGGCATCTCTACATTTGCATTGCTAGCCCCTTGGAGTAAGGACAATCAAGTTTGCCATGCATATAGAGAGCAATAGATATTTTTCTGTAAGTATTGCACACATTCAGTTGTCCTTTTAAAAAGCATCATTCCAAATAGATGATCACTAACAGAATCCATTAAAGTCTTGAATAACCTACATGTTCCAAACTCCACTGGGCACTAGTTTTCCTACTGGCCCCAATGATGGTTCCTGAGTACTCCCACATGTGGACTAATTTTCCTTACACTTCACTAAAAAGACTCTGAAAGTACCAACATACACCACACACTACAATTATTTGCTGTCCACTTCTTCCTAGTCTCATGAACTCAGCTTCCTGCACCCATATCTTATTAAACCTCTTCATATATTCTGAGAAGTCCTGTGCCTGCTTTTATTCTTGTACCTCCTTCCCACCAAATTTATGTCTACATGGATCTCATACATAAGACAGCACATACTATAGCTATGACTACAAGATGATGATATAATTTTGTTCCCCTATTACACCTCAAAGGTAGACTTTCTGCCCTAAATCATAAACAGCTGTTTTTGCCCTTTTTGCTCAATCTGTAGTAGGGAACCTTTTTCAGACAATGGCTGAGACACTCTTAAGAGTCACATTCCAGTCATGAGTCAAAATCTAACTCTCCTGTAATTTATATTAGGAAGCCTATCTACTCAGAAGCAAGCATGAACAGCATGTCTACACAAAAATAGGCAGGATAGGCCTCTGCACTTCTACTCAGAAGCAAGCAGGATAAACCTCTGAAGGAACAGGGTGAATTACTCAGTAATTTCTCTGGTGGCCCCCTCTGCTTGGAAGAAAAAGCTCTTGTCCAATCAGCAGCTGTTTGTACTTTCACCTAAAGGGAGCCTTAAGCAAAGAAAAGTACTTATCTCCAATCAGTCGCTAGCAAAGGGGTGGAGCCAAAGACTACCACAATTTGTTCATTCTCAAGTAAAAGTATTTTGGCTTCCTAGAAAGCTTTTTCAACCCGTATGCTACAGATTACATATTGATGAGCTTGTCTGCACTAAACAGGCTGTCAAAACAGCATATACAGAACTAAATGCAATAGAGATTCTGCTTGTATAATTAGCATTTTCCCTCCCCTCTTCCCTGTGGTATGCCCTCAAATCCGCTCTGGAGGGATGCCCAAGCCATTCAGAATCTATAGGGGTGTTCAGGGAAGATGTAGTGGGGAGGGGGAATTCAATTTGCCAATGTGTCCATTCCACTGGTACAATCCACTGACTGTTAAAATTGACTGACCACACTATGTACTGTTCTAGTTCTAATGTTCAGTTTGTCTAGTATTTCACAGACCTGCAATTTTATTTCAGTATGTATATTTATTTGATAAGGATGCCTGTCTCTGTATTGTGAACATAACACCATAAAGCTGGGTCTCCCCCAACTGCGGAAAACATTCTTCCTTGGGCAATGGTCAAGAACAATCTAAAATTCAACCTACAGTAAAGCAGAGATATTCCTATTCAGTCCCATTTAATAAAAATAAACTATCCAATTTCAAGTATACATTTAAAATAGATGTTTCCACATTATACTGAAAGTTTGTTACTATGTAAGCATCACTACATATTGAAATTATGTTTAAAATCCCTTGGACAAGATGCTTTATAACCATGAAAACATAACAGGGAAAGAGCAAGCATGATATGGTGTCTAATGTGTTGGACAAGGGACCCGGAATGTATGTGTCCTAGTTCTCACTCAGTCATGAAGCTCATTGGGTGACTCTAAGCCAGTCACACTCTCAGTCTGACTTATTTCAAAGAGTTGTTATTCTTAGGATAAAATGGAGCCACATAAGCTGCCTTAGGTTCCTCACAAGAGGAAAAAAGGCAGGATATAAATGTAATAATAACATTCCTAAGAAAGGCTATAAGCTTAAGAGCATTCATGTGAAAACAAGTTCCACTGAAATCAACCACACATTTTCAGTACATACATCTGAAGTGAAATGCAAATCTACAAAGTCACATACTCAGAAAAGCCTCTGTATTAAAATAAAGCACTGCAACCTTAATGGAAGGAAGTCAGAAACCTGCTTGGGCTGGAAAAAGGAGACACACGCATGCATTCACAGTAGACCCTTTGACTATTGCATCTGTGAAAAGAAAGGATTTTCCCTGCTATGGAACTGAAAAGCTGATGGTTTTCTATTATTTACAAATTTGTTTCATTACTGTTTTTTACAGTTTCTCTCAAACAAATAAGTGTAACTAATTATTCAGTTACAGCAATATCTATTCTGGTTTGTATCTAAATTGCTGTTCTAATATTCAATATTCAATCTGTTGTTTAAGGTCTATGCCACACACTTGTTCATCAGTTAATCTTTAAACCTCAGAAAATCACTTTCACATGCCTCACAGAAACAGTGATATTCAAACAGGTAAGGTACTCGAGGGCCAACTAATTACAACTTCAAACCAAACTGAAATATGAAGTGCACGTTGGTGCGTGTGTCACAATTTCAGCTCAGCGAGAAAGCAATTAGCATGTTTCTCCAACAGACGACTGCACTTAGAGCTCGACGGCACAACGCCAGCCTCGGCATACGACCCCTTCAAAAAGCTTGTAGAAAAGCAGTTCAGACAACACACCCCCTCCTGACCCACCTGCACTGCTTGCAAACTTGTGTTTTTCTTATTGCTATATTGCTGAACGTTAAGCTAAGAATTCTTCCCACCCCCATCCCTTCGTAGGATCCACTGCTTTTCGCCAAAGATGTCACATATTAAAGGTAAATTATGAGTGAGATTGTTTCGCAATTTTACAACAAACAAAAATTCACATTGTTTCCTCAGTGTGCCGGGCGGTGAAGCGGGAGGAAAAAAAGAGATGGCCAGGTCTACAGCACATGTTGGGCTCTGGCCTGCAGCAACTAATCCACTTCCCCCTCTCTCTCTCTCTCTCTCTCTCTCATACACACATCCTTTTGCAGGGCCTTCTGTGGTTCCGGCACTGAGCCACGAGACAGACCAAAATGGGGGAGGGAGCGAGATAAGCCGAAGGAAAGGCTCGCACAACGACGCCATTACGCGCAGGCCTAGCCCGACAGGCGGAGACCGCCGCCTCACGGCGAACCTTTTCCTTCTGTCCCAACGCAGCTCTTCGGGCGGCTAAGCGACCCTTTGAAAGGCAACAAGGAAGAGGCACCTGGTGTGTGTATCATATATGAGGCGGAGAAGGCTATCACCATACCCTACCTTCGTGAGTCTTGGCGATCTTCGCCATTTTGTAGAGCTCCAACAAACACAGCGAGCGAGATGGAGGGGGCGCGCGCGCTGACCTCCTTCTCCAGACGACGTCAACTTCCGCTATTGGGGTGGGGAAAGGAGCAATAATGGCTCCCGCGCGGGAGGAAGGAAGCGCTCCGCGCAAGCGCGGAGCCCGCGCGCGCGCGCGTGACGGAGGGGGGAGGGGGCCGCTGGAACCAAAGAGGCGGAAGAATGCGGGATCCGGAGAATTCAGCTTTATGTACAGCGCAAGCTTCTACAGGCGTACTCGGAAGTCCGCTACATTTACTGTGGCTTACTCTGAAAAAAAGGGGTTGTACATCACATTGCAACGTGGAAAAGTCGAAAATACAGGTGTGAAGGTTGGCGATTTCCATCGCATCCTCAGTTTCCGCACTCAGCCGAAGCTGCACTCAAGAGAACACAGGGCGGTTGTGCGCTTTCTTGATAGAAGCCTTTGGTTGGGTGTTTCCCGGTGTATATCCTCTTTACATGCTTTTGTACCTGAATCTCATAAAGGTTTGATTTTACTGTACTAAATGAATGGTAACAACTTTCAGAAGAGTAACCATGTTGGTCTGTTGCAGCAAAAACAAGTCTTGTGGCACTTTGAAGACTAAAGCTGCAATCTCATATACTTACCTGCAAATAAGCAGTTTTGAACTCAGTGAATCTTTCCTCTGAGTAGATGTGCATAGCATTACATTGTTGACATATTTGTTGTGGTAGAAGCTTTCGTGGACAATAGAAGCTTCATTGCATCTAATGAAGGTAGTGCCCACAAGGTTATGCCGTAATTGTTAATTTTTGAAGATGCCACAAGATCTATTGATTTTGGATGGATGTGAGATCTGAGAATGTGATGGAATAGAGGGCACCAGGTTGAGAAACTCCCTGTTAGCCAACCAGCAGAGTCAGTGCTCAAGAATTCAGGGATTGTAGTCCAAAACATTTGGAAGTCACCAGGTTAGGGAAAGATGGCTTAACCTATTGCTTGCTCTACTAGTTTATCTTTAATTTCTGTTGGTATACTCCCCTAGAAACAATTTCTGGATGAACGAGCAGTGCATAAGATTTTACAAATGAAATGTCAACATGACTGCCCTGTCAAAGAATCATTGAACACAGACAGTAAGCTAAAAAAATTAATATGAAATATCTGTGTACCCTATTATGTCGTTGTGTAGTGTGTCATCTTACTACTAGGTTACATTTATAGTCCACCTTTCTTCCTCCTGCAAAAAAACCCAGGGTGGCTTACAAAGTTCTCCTCCTCTCTGTTTTAACCTCACAAAAACCATGTTGTAAATATGGGTTAGGCTGAGAGTGAATTACTGACCCAAAATCAGACACTGAGCTTCATGGCTGACTGGGGACTAGGACACTCCTAAGTACCAGTCCAACACTCAAACCTTGACACCACACTTATCCCTCTGTTTTTATTTACAGGTACATTCCTGCCTGTGATCTTTGCTCCTCCAGCTTCACTTTAAAAGTTCCCCTGATCCTTCAAAGAAAATTTATCCTCTATACTTGGAGTTGGAGGCCAAAATGCCTGTGTGATACCACTTCCTTCAAATCTCTCCTCAGAATCCATTCCAGTAAATATTCTGGCATAAAGGTACTGCTGTTAACATAAAGCCCTTCTCAGGTTAGGACCACATTCTTTGATGTGGTCTTCTAAACTTAATCCTTCCAGACCTGTGATTTGCATCTAGGGCCACCTTCAAACTGCAGCCTTCAAGGGAGGCCCAGAAAGAGGCAAATGAGGGCATTCTCACTGGTGGCTTCCAATTGTGGAATGATCTCCCCACTGAAGCCCACCTGTTGCCAGTGTGGTCATCTTTTTGGTGCTGGATTAAAACTGCCAACTATTCTCAGGCATTAAATGGCATATGATAGGATATGTCAGCTGTTTTAATCAGGACTAGTTTTGTTGAAAGTATTTTAGAGGTTTAAATTTGTATATAAGATATTAAACTTTTAAATTTGTATCCTAGAATTTTATACTGTATTTTATCATACTGTGTTTTTTCTTGTATCTATTTTTATTGTAATTGAGAAATTGTTGTGAAATGCCTAGAGAGCTTCAAACAATATAAAAATAAATAAAGTGCCATCTTCAGAACAGTGTGTTGAAGATAGTGAGTTTGCTGCTGTTCTTTTCTTTTTGATGTTAATATACTGATAGGGTGTCAACCACTCCAAATTCAGTTGATGCTACCAACTTGTAAACTATAATAGAGCATAAGTAAATTCTTACATTCTCATCTTGTTACTGTATTCTGTTCTTGGAGATCTATGCACATTTATATAGTAAGTAGGGTTCTTTATTGCAGTAATTGAAAGGGCCATTCTAAAGGGTCCTAAGTCATCTCAATTACACCTATCTTCATTCACTGAAGTACCTTTCTTCCCTTTGCTAATTAACAGCAGTTATGGGGCCAGTTTGTCTCTCTCTTTGAGCTTCTTTCTTTTTCCCTTCTCAGCAGATCAAGACCACATACTTTTCACTTTATTATGTTAAAGCCGGACAGTCAGGACTGGTTTTGTGATACAAAGAGGGTAATATAAAAGTCAATAGCAAGAGGCTTCTATCAAGTTAAAACCCTCTAATTGTGGAGTTAGTTCTTTTCCATACCAGGAGTTGATTCCAAAATTAATTCTCCTCCTGCACACCAAACAGAGGTGAGTCCACCCTCAGGAAGGTTCAGGGTGCCTCTGGGCCAGATGGCAAAAGCACCGGATGTTACTTAATCCACTTATCAGACCATTGGGCTGACAAAGTCACACCCCTCTCCCTCCCTGTTCCACAGTGTTTATCCCACACCCCACAAGGTGGTCTGGTGCTCAGCAGCCACTTGGCTTATCTCAAACCTCATAAAATCTGGCATTTCAGCTAAGCATTTTGACTCCACCTCTTCTTTCACTTCAGATTTAGAGTCTGAAATACCCATCTTGGAATACTGTATTTCAGGAGAAACAGGTCCAATCCCTACAACAATTGCCATGGGGAATACATGACTGCCAGGAACTTGCCTGGAAGGAAGTATCCTGGCAAATATTCTGTACTTTCAACAAAGTCAGGACATTTCCTTTTGATACTGTATTAGGTGAAGAGTTCTACTGTCATGAGTGATTGTAGGGCAGAGATGCAGAACTGCAGACTTTTGGGATGGGTATGGTGCCCTATCCTTGACCCTGGCTCCTCCTCCACCCACCTGGTCGTCTTCCTCGCCATGGCCTTCTCATTGGTCAATCCTGCCACTGTCTCCACCGAAATAGAGATGGGAGGGCAGATGTGTGAGTGTGGAGATCCAACCACAAAAGCAGAGTTTCAAGGGTAATACAGAATGAACCTTTGAAATGATGCAGTTGTCTATGGTCAGGTCCATAGGCTCACACATGTACCTACTTTCCTCATGATTTCATTCCTCACCGAGGTAGTGGCTGAATTGTGGAGGGTAAAGATGCCCACTGACAAAGATTGTGGTAAGATATAGAAGAGAACAAGATAAAAATCTGATAGTAGAAAGAGAACATACCTTTGTCTCTTTGTTTCAGAAATGCTGGGGCTTAATACCATGGTGCTCTTGGGAAGGCTCATGAACTCCAGCTATCTTGATGGCTTTATCCAGAGTGGGAGTTTTTCTCCTTTTCTTTTCTTTTCTTTTCTTTTCTTGATAGATCCAGTAAGAATCCTATCCTTGAGCGGAACTTCCTTATCTGCAAAAACAAAACTTCATTAATAACTGCTGTTGAATTAGTTCCATTTGGCTGTTGTCTTTTTCACAGGAACCCTTTTCCCCATGGAGACATTTCTCTCTGGCAAAAGAAGCCCTCAAATAATGCAAGCAGCCTATCTGGATTTTTCCTGTCTGCTTCTGTAATTTTACCAGTGAAGAGATCCATGTTCTGCAAGTTCCTCTGCCTTGTAGAGCAAAGTATTTTAGAAAATTAGCAGCTTTAGGGCTGTGGACCACCAGGCTGGTGCTAAAAAAAAGATCCAATCTCTTTCCATCTAGTTCAGGGGTCTCAAACTCAGCTGGGGGCCGCTGGAAGTAGAGTCTGGGTGAGGCTGGGCCACATCAAGTATTCCACCACCATGGTGGTGGTGGGATGCTCATCCCGCAGCCGGCCCAGGCGCTGCCGGCGCTTTGAAGGCCGCAGGCCCCCCCCCCCCCCGTGCCCCACCCGGCAATTGGCCCGCGAGTTTGAGACCCCTGATCTAGTTCCTTTTTCTAATATTTCCAGTTTTAAAATTCACAAGAGATACATATCTCCACTTGTCTATGTGAAAGTTTCTCACTCAACCTGATACTGTGAATTGCCTGTTAAATTCAAGCAGCTGATTGATTCAGATTGATCTGGAGCATTCAGATTGATCAGGAGCATTGCTATTTTAAGGTACATCCTACTCATGTTAAAACAGAAAAAGTTCTTTTTTGCTAGTCTTGCAACAAGTAACCCTTCCCTCCCCAGTTGAAATCTCCCTGAAAATAGTCATATGCAAGTTAATTACGCCAAGGTGATCAAGGGGGGGTCTCTTGGCACCAATGGATGGACTCTATAACAAACTTGGGCCCAGGTCTAGTGACACCCCTGCTGTTGTTAACTATATATTGGAAAAGAAGCTTTAAGCTTTCGCCTTTGAAATCAACAGGAGGTAAAAGTGGTTGCGGCCCGCCCTTTTAATTTTGCCGACATGTTAATTCTTTTGCGCTGACCACTCCGGGCGCGGCGTGAGCACCGTTTCCCTTTCACCAGCAGACGGCCCTTTCGTTTCCTTCTATCCACAACTGCAAACCTCAGTCCTCCCGCTCCTGAAAAGCGCTCTTGGCGAACACGTGTTGTTTCCCCGCCCCTCTTCGCCTTGTCTGTTGTACTCGGCCCTTGGCAGGATCGCTTTCTCGCCATCCAAGGAGTAGCAGCAAATCGGCTAGTGGAGGTGTGAACTTGGCCTGGGCTAGCCGAACACCCGCGTGGTCTCTGCTTTTGACGGAACGGTTTTGTTAGCGGAGGAAAGAGCAAGATACTGGAGGCCCTGGAGACACTAATATGGCCAGGCAGAAGAGGTTTTCTTTCTGCTCCCAGGACCAAGCGCCCTTCCTTGCACTCGTAGCCGGCATCGAGGGAGCCACGTCCGAGCAAAGTCTTTTGGGTGCTCCGTTCTCCGCCATGCTGGGGTCCTAAAGTTGGGGAGAGTTGTGGCTTAGTAGGAAGGCGGGCGAGGGGCAGAACTAGATCAGTGAAAGGGAAGCCTTCGTGCGGACGCGTCTGCGGCAGTTCTCGAGACGCCCTTTAGACAAACAGCAAAGGAGACGTTGATCCTGCAGGTCGGGAACAGGAGACGCGGGGCGGGCTTGGCCAGACGCGGGGCTTGCGCCGCGTGTAGTTGGTGCATGTGGGAAGGGGGCGCTCGGGAGCAAAGATCGGCCACACTGGGAAGAAGGGAAGATAAAGTGGCATGTGAAGTGCTGGCTGCTTCGTTCACGGTCTCGAAATTGAGGTGGATCCGAAATGGAGAGCAAGCACTGACTTGGGGTTTCAACCAACTCCTAAAGTGCCTTTTCTGTTTTGTTAAGGCGAGGACACAGTTTTCACTGAGGCAGGGAAACTTGTGCCTTGACTGTAACCGATTAGACTGCTGGTGAGGGCTTAAGCTTGATCAAAAGCTTTTATTTCTATTCATACCAAATCTAAATGTTAGGGAGAAAAGTTATAGCACAGCCATCTGCCTGACATGCTGGTTTTCTGTGGGATGTTTGGACTGTTCATTTCCTATAATTCTTAGAATAAAATTGTGTAATGTTTACTAGCCTTAGGGCTTAGAGTGCATGCTTATAAAGTCTAGTCCTTGAGGGTAGTGAATAGGAGCAAAAGTATACCTAACCCAGTAATGCATTTTAAAAAATTCCATGCTTCTCTATTCTGTGTGTTTTTTACACACACTGCATTTTCATCAGAACTATTTTTCTCTCCTGAACTCAGATTTCAAGATAGGAAAGTGAATATATTAAAGCTGAGTTCTACAATGCAGATTTTATTCTTTTCTTAGACATAATTTTAAAATACAGGAATTGAGTGCAATCTGGAGAAAGACTTGAGGCTTCTGGAAAACATGGTTAAGGCTGACCCAAGTAGATTAGACATCAGTGCTAGACTGTTGATTTCAAAGAAAATGCCATACTTTTTCTCTAGGCTGTGGCTCAGTTAACTTTTAATTGTAATGGTTTGGGGATAGTATCTGATGGAGATTGCCCATGGGCGGCCAGTCCCACTGATTCCTTTAGACAAGTGGTGCCCTCTGTTTTTGGAATAGGATAGTGTAGCACTTGCCAGAGGCAACCAGAAACAAGAGGAAATGCTCATTTCTGAGCAACCCAGCAGAGCTCATTTAAGGCATGACAAAGTACGTGCATTAGGAATGAAACTAGAGGTTCATTTCATGGACTTATTCATGGTTGTGTAGTAGGTTCCTTTGTGAATAGTTGCATCCTACTTTGTTTTGTTTTTAATATTATAGCATCCAGTATTGGAAAAACTAAAGGCAAGCTTCATAAGCTTCTTTATTATTATAATCTCATTATTTCACACAGAAAACATAATAGGTTTTTATCTCTTCTATTTTCTTGCAAAGAGCTCAAAGCATCTTATATAATCCTGCTCTCAATCTTATCTCCATAACAACAAGCCTGTAAGGTAGGCTGGGCAGAAAGCCTGTGACTTGCCCAAAGTCATTGAGATGACTCTGTGACTGAATGGGAACTAGAACCCAGATTTCCCAAGTCCCAGTCCCACACTCTTAACCACTACGCTACACTGGCTCTATTCTCATTTTACAGATGAAACTGCTCAAGGCTATTCAGTGATCCATGGCTAGATGGGATCTTAATACTGGTTCAAGCCTTCTTGCACAATTATCTGCTACTGAATGATCGTTCGGATGTTTAGCTTATTGGTTCAAGATCACAGCAGCTCAGTTCAGGCAAATTCCAAACCTGTAACCTTGCAAACTGGGAGAATTGTGGATATGCTCTGCAGCAGAGATCACTTCTATGTTTCTCCTCCCTTGCAAATCAGCTAGACAGCTCTCTTAAGGCACTTGGGGACAGGGTGTGGGGAGGCTGAGGTACTGCCATGATACATTTCTTGGTGGTGTCATTCTCTTTCCCTCCCCCCAGAATGTCCATTAAACTTTTCTGAGGTTGCTTGTGACCTTGGAGAAGCAGCCAGTGCTGGGTTTTTTTGCACTGGCTGCCTTCAAGGGATAGGGTGGTGGTAGGAGGAGCAATATGAGCATGGATCCCCAGCTGTGAGGTCAGGACAGTCTTCTTGCCTCAGAGCTGTGAGTCTGAACGATACCTTGGGCTCCCTTGTTTAGGGGCCATAGGATTGTTCTGTTTATATGTTTAATCACAGTTGTTTGACTTCAGGAACTACCACAGTACAGAAGCTGCAAAGAGGAATTCAGAGTGTAGCAGCCATCATTTTACTGCTTTCATAAAATCAATCTATTAACTTTGACAGTGAGAAAGAGCTAGTTATAGTATGCATCAGTTTTTATTGGTTGGTTCTTCATTCACTGTGTGATTACATACTTGATTTTGATAACTAGCTTGGTGCCTTCTTAAAAACATAATTTTAAAAATGTTATTTATTTTGTCTTCAAGGAGAGACTCTTGCAGTTGAAGTGCTGGTAAGCACATGTCCATGATGGCACCCAAGCAGATTGGAAAATGGGCGAAGTATGGTAAGAGGTACTGTGGAGACTGGGAAGGAGAAGCTGGCTTAAAAGACTGGGTTCAGAGGGTACCCGGAGATGACTCAAAAGCAGCTTGCAAATACTGCATATGTGAAATCAGAACACACCATAGTGATCTTGTTGCACACAGTAAAACGAAGAAGCATAAGAAGCATGTTGCTTTGCTTTCACAGCCTTCACAGGCTGTGGGAAAATATCCATTTGAGTTTGATGTGCGGCGCTCCTTGCAGATTGAAAAGTCAGTTGCCTTTGAAACTGAACAAGATGAAGTCAAGCATGCAGAAATGAATGAATCAGTAAACGTCTGTGCCTTGAAAATGGCAGCGCATATAGCTTGCCACATGAGCATTTTTACAGTTGATCACCTCGGGTGTATTATTGGTGGAATAGCAGAGAAAGACATAAGCCTTCATAGGACAAAATGCTCAGCGATTATTAGAGATATCATAGGTCCTGCTGTACATAAAGAACTCCTTAGGGATGTTGGCAATGGATATTACTCATTGATCATTGATGAAAGTTTGGATGTGTCTTCCCAAAAACAACTATGTTTGATGGTGAGATACTTCAGCAGCAAGCTTAAATGCATTGTAACCTCCTTTGTGGGTATAATAACTTTGGCTGCAAGTGATTCTAATTCAGTTACAGATGCCCTCTTACCATTCATAAATGAAAATAAGCTGAACATAAGTAAGTGTGTTGGCATTGCTGCTGATGCTCTCAGTGCAAGTATATGTGACCATGAAAATTCACTCCTTAAGAAATTTTATGAACTCAATCCTTGTGGTGTCTTTATTAAGTGCATATGGCATTCCTTGTATTTATGCTTATCAAGAGCCATAGATGTGCTTCCACTGAACCTAGAATATATGATCTCACATACATATTTGTGGTTTTCTCAAAGCACATTTCACCAGAAGCGGTACTCTGAGTTGTATGCTGCAGTCAATGTTGGAGAGAATGCACTGAAAATGCTGCAATTTACTGACATACAGTGGTTGTCTATTGGCCCTTGCATTAATAGAATACTTAGTCAGTATGATACTTTGAGGCTGCACTTTCAGTCTGTAAAAGACAATGGAAAGGACTACAGTGCTGAGCTCCTCTATCAAATGTACTCTGAGCCTGTTAATAGACTTTATCTTGTTTTTCTGCAGCCTTTTGTTCAGGAAGCAAATAGGATCAGTAAGTTATTTCTTTTGGAAACTGCTAATCCAGTTAAACTTATTACTGAGATAGTGATGTTCTACCAAATTCTGTTACAAAGGATTGTCAAGCATTCTGCCTTTCCAACATGGTCAGCTATAATGGACTACGATGTGCAAACAAACAAAACTACCTGCCTCTCTCAGGGGTTGATCTTGGACAAGTGTTTCTTTCAGAATTAGCAGGTACCAGTCTTCCTTCTCAAATTGTAGAGGTCATTCAAATGAAGTGTCAGGATTGTATTTTTGAGCTTGTAAACCAAATAAAGCTTCGCCTGCCCCCAAATGTACATCATCTTGAATCACTCAGTGCTCTCAATCCTTCTGTGGTTCTAAGTCCTCTAAAACCTACATTCTTGACTCTATCATTTCTGGCCTTGTATAGAGGAGATCACTTGAAACTTGAACAGCAGTGGAGAAACCTGGATACAGTTTCTTGGACAAACACAGAAGATGGCCAGATAGAACAATTCTGGTTAGAAGTTGTAAAACACACAGATGAAGTGGGTGATAAAGATTTTACTGAGCTAGGATTATTTGCTCTTGCACTTCTTACATTGCCTTTCAGCAGTGCAGCAGTAGAGGGCACAGTTTCACAAATGAATCTGATTAAAAACAAATTAAAGAATAGGCTGCAGGGCAGCCTGCTTGAAAATATCCTAAGAATCAGAGCCTACATGCACAGAAATAAAATTTGCTGCAATCAGTTTCAGCCATCCAAAGAGATGATTTCTTTGTGCAGTACTGAATTTTATGCTGTTGCTAATAGCAAGGATGCTGCAGAAGATTATGACGATATATTTTGAAAGGCATGCAAATGAAGAGTATTAAAATACAAGAGCAGATACTGATTTCCTATGGTTGTGCTGTTTGCCCTTCACATATTGGGTGTTATTGTTTTTAGAGACTGCCTCAATTGGTTTTTCAATTCTGTAATTTTAGGTCAAATGCTCTGTTTATTACTGAACAAGTATAAGTAAACTAGTATGTAGCTTATATTGTTGTTCTTGTTTCCATGTACAGTCATTAACTGAGGTTCATGTAAGAGGCTTGCATTAGCCCAATGGACTGTTTTAATTTTTTCCCTTTAATCATCTGATTGCTAGGCCATATAGTTCCTATCAGTTTCATAGAAATTCAGAGCACAATCCTACACATATTTAGATGGAGAAAAGTCGGGTTTTACTACTTTTTCTGTCTAGGATTGTACGTTAAGTTTTGTATATGTGTGTAGGAACACATACAACGAAGAATCACATTATTTTAGATCTTGGTCAGCATTTTGTAAAATATGTTGGATCATCTACAATTGAGCACTAAGAATTCCAATTTGGTGGTGAGAGAGGAACCCTAAAATTGCATGCCAAACTTGGTTTGCATAGGGAGCAATCCAAGACAGGTTTACTGTAGGAAATTTAAATAAAAACCTTTAAATAAAAACTTGGAAACTTACATTGTTCAAAAGTTTCAGTGTAAGTCTACTAGGTTGTTAGTTTTTCCCCCTTTATGCTCAATCTGTCGCTATGCTTTAAGAATCCATAAATCTGTGTTGGTAATGTCTAGTGAACCTTGAAAAGATTGGAATACATTAGGCACCAGCTTCAGTTTTGTAGAGGACATAAAATCTTGAGGTCAGGGCTATGCAGGTTAAATAAATTCCATTGGTTTTCTAGTTACATCAATTTTTTAAGTGCCTGGAATTTTCTGTTGCTTGCATCCAAGAGTTTGTAAACAATTGCTAAATTGAGCCTTTTGCTAGACAAATGTTAAAATACTTATTTAGGGTACAGTTTTGGGGTATTGATGTTTCCATGGTTAATCACCAAAAATAATCTGCTTGGCAATTCATAAATTAAAATATTTTATCAAAAACTGCGGTTGCCTTGAATAGTCAACAAACAGAGCTATTTGAGAAGTAGGGAGATAGGGCAGTAGCCACTAAGGCAAATGATACAGCACTTTCATAACCCTCTCATAGAGCAATGGCAGTAGTGTTCTTTGGCATGACACATTTTCCAGGGAAACAAGTTGTGCTGTCAAATGCTATTGGTGTTGGACTGTAAATCCCTTATGCTAGTTTGATACAAATTATATTAGTATATTAAAATGGATATTGTCCACTAAGATTAAAGGGCCAGAAAATAAGAGTAAATTGGAATTTTGGAATTAATATTTTTAATATACTTAAAATATACTGATATTTTAAGTAAGCACGCTTACTTAGAATTTAGTTCTGTTGTTTGGATGTTCTGAATAGACATATCTAAGATCTGGTTGTCAATCAGGAAATTGTTGTAGTTTAGAATATAAATTTGCAGGGTGCTTTTGATATGAAGGGGGATGCAGGTGGTGCAGTGGTTTAAACTGCTGAGCTGCTGGGCTGGTTGACTGAAAGGTCACCGGTTCGAATCTGCACAACGGGGTGAGGTCCGGTTGCTTTGTCCCAGTTCCTGCCAACCTTGCAGTTCGAAAGCATGCAAATGCAAGTAGATAAAAAAGTACCACTTGGGTGGGAAGGTATCACCGTGCACTTCGATGTTTAGTCATGAGGGCCACGTGACCACGGAGACTGTCTGCAAGGCAAACGCTGACTTGCTCGGCTAGGAAACAGAGATGAGCACCGCCCTCTAGAGTCAGACATGGCTGGACTTAACATCAAGGGGAAACCTTTACCTTTGGTACAAAAATGTACAGCTTATTTTTGTCATATTTGCATTTTAGTGAGTTTATTAAAAAGTAATTGAGGGTATCCCCTTCATTCCTTTCTTAACATAGACAGCTGGTGACTACAGTTCTTAAATGCATAATCAGAAATCTTGGAGTAGCTTAAACTGATGTCAGTTGAATATTTTGAAATGATTTTACATGAAGCAATTTGAGAAACACAATCATAATACCTTATAATTAAAGTATGCATAGAGTTTTCTACTGTATACCCCTGGTCTTAAACATATTTATTTGAAAGTTGCCTTGAATTAAATGAGTTGGATTCAGACATGCTTACAGTAGACCCATTTAAACCAGTGGGATTTCAGTTCTGACTAATATGGTCTATTAGTGTTAATGGTTGTTCTTTAAATAAGATTAATAATGCAGTCCTATACATCACTTAGTTGACTGAGTTTAGTTGGACTTATTTCTAGGTAGGTGGATATAAAGCTAGTAGCATTTGCTTTTAAGTAACTGTGCATAGGATTGCTGCCTTGTTTTAGCAATTAATCTCTTTTTGTGGCCCTTTTTCCAAAAGTAATAGTTCTGTAATTTGGTACCTGGAATAACCCTAAAGAAAATTGAAAAATGCAGCTATACTTTGTATTTAGAATTATAAGTACACATAAAAATTAGCAAATTTCAAAAAATGGATTAGGATACACCAATATCAATGGCTTTTATAAACTGATAACCTTTAATTATCTAATAATTGTTATTTAGCAATATGCAACTGTGAGCACTGGTTTAAAAAGAAAGGGATCTAGCTATATTGTAGTTACTTGAACCAATGTTTGTTAAGATAAATACAACATTACTTGGAATAAATTTTATATGCAGCAGTATTTCCTGGTATTTTTCAATGAAGAAAGAATTCTAAATTGGCTGTGTACACTGTGTTTTCAGCCGTAAGGGGAGTGGGTCCCAGTGCCTTTGAATGACAGTTAATTCCTCAAGGGAAACATAATATATGAATGTGTGTTCACACTCACATAATTACCACAGCTTGTGAAATAAGAATCCAATTAATGCAGTGCTTAGTTGAGCCACTCGTTGCTAAACATAGATCCAGGT